TGATGTGTAGATGTTAGCCCTCAGGTGAGGGGAACGTGGGAGCTCCGAAGCGAGAGTCGGTATCCTCCCAGCCTAGCCGCAGAATCAGTAACCAAGTATAAGATTAGTCAAAGTTTTTTATGCCTGGACCAAAAAGTAAAGAATAGGTATGCTCCTATTTGGCACAATATAAATTGAACTAATTCATTTTATCCATTTATTATAATTTCTTGACAAGGAGAATGATGTTTTCTTATATATTGAATATCACAATTAAACCCTACTTTCTATCATTAGTTATTTACTAGTTATCCAAATTATCTACTTATTTCAATTGATTATTAGTGACAGATAAGCAAATTGAACGTCGTCGTTGTAGTTGAAGTATTACTTTTTATTAAGCCTTAGTCCGTAGTATTCTATTTCTTTCTGTGGGATCGATAACTAGGACTCCATTGGAGCCCTATATTACTTGAGTGATACGTATACTTGCGTTGACAAATTCGACTTTAAAATTATTGAATAATATATATATACATCTTTATTAAATCAAACACATATATATAAAGTCGCAGTCAAGTTTTTGACACCGTTACTGGAGTTTAAATCTTCTAGTAGCGCCATCAAATTCTTGTAATTGTCGATTTAGAAAAAAAAAAGGTCGGTCATATAGTAAGATAATAATCATCACCATTAAGATCGGAATCTGCATATTCAATTTACACTAAGATGTCTCTTATATTTTAGATCTTAATGGTGATGATTATTATAGTAATTCACCATGAGAAATCCTTGAAAGGTATCTTGGATCTAATCCTTTCCCTCAAGAATCTTTTTTTTTATTGAAACATGTATGAAGCTATTTTTGTCTCCCTAAAATGTGTCAAAATCCAACATAGTTATAATGAAGAAAATAAATCGGTTACTTACAGTAAAGCCACAATCCACAAAATAAGTAATCATGAAAGAATAGAGGCTCACTCCACATCAAAATAAAATCATCGAATATAAAAATCCAAAATCCCAATTTAAAAGACCATTTCTTTTGATTACTAGACTTATATTGAAGTCATGCACAAAGCATTTCTAGTTATTAATTCTACAAGAAAACATGTGGATGTTTGTAATGATGCTAAAAGTCCTACGAATAATATCCTCCATTGGTTCTACCAATGATGTGATAATTGTGATGTAGTAACTCAGACCCTACGACCTCTAATTAAGGCTATATATTCTCATTGGGTCGAATCTTCTCCTTACATTTCAAAAATTTCAGCACATATTTTAATCGATTGTCATTCTAATTTATATTTTTTCACTCAATGTCAAATTCCATGAATTGAGTCACGGAACCTTGAAATCCAAAATGATGTTTTGAATCGTAAATGCATACATCGAAACTATGTAGTGAAATGGTGGACACCCATCAAAATTGAAGAAAATATTCTTTTCACTAACAAAGTAATATAAGCTAATAAATCAAATTTACCAAAAAATCAAGCTAAAGAAGATCTTTCGTTTAAAAATATTTATCAGTAATTAAGAAGAAAAAGAAAATTTCCTAATGAATCCACTGAGAAAATAATAAAAAAAATATTAATTTAAAAGTTTTGTGGGCTAATTTGTCATTTTAATAGACATTGATTAAAATCACCCATATAAAAAGTAAGGATATTATTTTGGCATTTTACTCCTATTGAATAAAATGTAGTGTGTTTCTTAATTTTAAGAGAATTTCATTTGTTTGATCAACTAATGGAGACACAATAACTTATTGTCTATTATAGCATTTTTCATAGATGAGTTAGCATTCTCACCATATTAGATTTGCATTAAATTCATATTTTGATGAGAACTCATAACCTAATACCTAACCCGATAATGGAAATAATTGAATTTTATTCTCTCAACGGGAAATGTGATGGTTATCCTTAACCTTTTGCTTATACTTTAGCAACCAAAATGTGAATATAAGGATTTTTAAAGTTCACTAGCAAAATTATTAAATATGTAAATAGGGGTGTAAACGAGCCGGCTAGTTTATACTTTGAGCTCAAAAAGTGTGCTTGTGTTCGGCTCGTTTGTTTAGTAAGCCAAACACGAGCCGTTCACGAACAAAGAGTCGTTTTGACAACCCTAATCACGTAGCCATAAAATGTTAAGGATTGGGCAATATTTAAAACATCATTTGAATCTAAATTAATAATTTTTATTCTATTTTCTTCATTAATACTTTTAATTGATTATAAATCTTTGTAGCCTTGTAGTCAATTAAATTTTTTAAAAATACTACTCATCAAAGATATATATATAATTGATTAGCAGTATTTCGAGCCAAAACGAGCAGAACACGAACGAACAAATATTTGTTCGTGTTCGGCTTGTTAACTTAGCGAACGAGTCAAACACGAGCTTCCTAACGAGCTGTTCACGAACAACGAGCCGTTTTGACACCCTATATGTAAAATACTACATTTTGTCGGATTGATATAAATTTCACCATTGGAATAGTTATAAGAAGGAATATTTACACATACCACTGAATTCCCATGTATTTACACATCTAACACTAAACATCAATTTTCACATAATATCACCTTGCCATCTTAGCTCTGCATAACAAAAGTATATTTCATTTTATAAAAGTCAAAATGATGAAATTTTTTTTGTCATATTAATATTTTGGATGATATAAATATAAAAAACAAAACAAAGGGTTAGATATGTAAATACATAAGATGTTTTTAATAAGAAAAAAAAATCAAAGCATTATTTTCCTTCAAAACAAATATATTATTTTTTAAAATAATTGTGATATATGATAAATATATATTTTAAGAAAGGATTGTTTTAAATCTTTTATGTCGACAAGAGCTTGAATAAGAACATTGTGAAATATTTTTCTGAATAGAAATTTGCAGAATCGAAATAAGCTGATGTAGTAATTCTATGGTTATAATTAAGAAAAAAAAATGATTGATTAAGTTTTTGAAAGCCAAAGTTTCATATACTAAATTCGAACGGAAATTTTTGAATCATGCAACATTTTTTTGCCAAGTGGGCAAATTTTATTTTTTTCATTTTTGCCCAGTTTAGTAAAGGAAGAGGACCGTGCTGCAAATTCTGAAAAGAAACAAGGGACCTTTCTGGAATTGTTAGGGCTGTCAATTTGGCTCGTTGTTCGTGAACAGCTCGTGTTCGGCTCGTTAAGCAGCTCGTGTTCGGCTCGTTCGTTAAGCCTAACGAGCCGA